GTTGAGTGACAGATATAGCAAATGTTAAATATATCCTAAGTGCCATGAAAGATGACAAAAGGGATGATGCATTTCTATGGATGTTACTTGGTAACCTAACTTGGTAAATGAGGCCAGTCACAAATTTAAACATGAGATTATTGAGGTTAATGTCAGAAAAAAAGAACCATTTATATTATTTCAAATTAAAGGAGTTTAAACATCTTTGAAAAGGTCTTTAATATGTGAACTATACACAAAGGATATTTCAAGAAAAATGGTTCTGCATGATACATTTATGATGCTTTGGAATGGCAGTGTTATTTTGAATCTAGTTATTTATCTGGCTGGAAGTTAAAACAATCAAATTATTCACCAGGTAAGGATTCATACTGTACAAAATTTATTTGTGTAGAGGGAGAAAATTCAGAACTGAAAATAAAATAAAATTGAATTAAAACCAGAAAAACTAAAAATTTATTTGTGCTAACTAGATTGTATTACAAAGATTTATATAATTCAAAAACAGTGTGCATACTGGACACAGAACTGGACTTGAGTTCAACTTTGCCATTTATTAGTTCCAATGAGGTTTCTAGTATAAGCCACACAAAGGACTAGATTTCTGTCAACCAAAGATCAGCCTAGATAAATTCAGGAAGGCGGATCACTGGTGAAATTTTCAGCCACAGCAACTAAGGAAACTAAGGTACAGGGGGAGCTACCTGGATAAATCATAGTTCCTTGAAGATCGCACGCTGTGGTGGAAGTAACTCTGAACCTGGATTCAGAAGACCTATATTCAATTCCTGGCTCTGAGTTATTAGCTGTGACTTTGGGAAGTCATTTCCCTTTTGTGGGACTCTTTTCTCATTTGTAAAATTAGAGGAGGGGCTAGACAAGACCCTTTTAAACATTAACATCCTGGGATTCTATTGTTAACAGTTACTAGTGAAAGGAATTGGGACTTGACCTGTGATTTTACTGACAAAGGAAACACTCAAATGAGGGTACGCTTTGTGAGACCAACATAGCTGGGCACCGTCTCCTTACCTTATGGTCTTATAGCTGCCTAAAGCCTTCATGTGTTAGAAGCTGAACTGGAACCCAGGTCTTTCTGGCTCTGAGGCCAGGTCTCTATCCACTACAAAACCCTGATTCTTATTAGAAATAATTATTACAAATTATATAGATATATAAATGATAAAATATTTTCTTACTTTCAAATCTGTCAGTATTAAACTAAACTTATTGGCCTACATTGTTAATTGTAAATATGAATGGGCCCATCTAAGAAAATTTATTCTAAGATCAAGTCCTAAACTATAACTACGATGCCATAAACCTTCAAGACTTCCACTATAGCTATGTAAAACATGTTCAAACTTTTCCTTAAGAAACAGAAATCACAAAATATTTGAAAGGGGATCTTAGTTTAGCCCAACCCCCACCCCATGCAACAATTCATTCTACTATATTACTGACAGTCATCTAACCTCTTGAGATAGGAAGGTATATCTATACATTATGGAGCAGCCTGTTCCACTACTGGACTTCCTCTAATTTTCACAGATTTGGCTCTAGTTCGCTCCTCCAGAGTGAGGCAATTTTTACTCACGTTTCTACATGATCATCCTTCAAATATTTTAAGACAGCTAATATGATTTCTCCTAGCCTCTTCTGTAGAACACATATTGAGCATTTCCAACTGGTCTTATGTTTTTGTTATGTAATGATTTTAAGTATAGCATCATGTCAATTTTCATAAATTAAGTTCTTCTATTTATGGAAATACTGATAAACTTTAAAGTGCCATGATTACAGACTATCTAAAATGGAAATTTTACATATTAGACTGAGAGCAATCAAATTTAAACATTTTGAAATCTCAATGCTACCCACTAAATAGTTCCTTAAAATCTCAAATTTTAAATGACTTAACTGATTATCCATATAGTAAAATTTCTTCCGTGAAAGAGCTTAGTACAAGAAAACAAAAAAGGCATAAATGATATAAAAATGTGGTCTTAGAGAGAAAATATTTCATTTGTTTAATGGAAAAAGTACAAAGTTTTAGAAAAGGAGACATTAGATTTCAGCACATACAGTATAAGCACATACTTTGTAACAATCACTTAGTTTTATCCTTCTCTTAGTTAAGTAATAAAAACATTCTCTCATAGCAGTCTTTAACTTCATTAACATTATTATACTGCTTTAAAAATGCACAGTGAAGATTAAGAATATCAGCTTGAAAATACAGAAATATTACAATGAATAGCACAGTAGAAAAATATTCATCTGTCTATATAAAGTACTTTACAAATGCACAGCATATTTTCTTTTAAAACAATTCTGTCTAAAGATAACATCATATGTATCTACAGTTACTGTGTCCTATTTAAATAGAACTTTGCTGCATTTTACCTTTAGAGAGCAAAATAACATGAAATCAAAAGATTTGAATCAAACCTTCGGAATGACAGATGAAAACGACAGCATGGCAGTCCAACTTCATGCTCAGAAACTAAATTCTTAACTTTTTATATAACACAAACAATAGGAAAAGCCCAAAGCTCCCCAATTTGTCTAATTCAAAGTTGCAGTTTGAAGCAATGTTTCAAGCTGTTCGATTCAAAATAAGTTGAAATCACAGTCAACCTTAAATTATCCATTATACATATGCGGATTAACTACAGCAATTTTAAAACCTCAAGGTAGTTTCCTACTGCCATGCCACTGTCAACTGAGATATGCTGAGAGAGATAATGACTTAAGGTAACAGAGCCATCCTGTTATTCTCTGCTACTTGTATATCCAGTTAACTCTCCTCAAATATAAGCACGTACTAGTAACAGAAGTTTTATATGCTGTGTAAAGATTGAGGATTAGGGTGTGCTGAGAAAATATCCATTTTTTAAATGAATAAATCTGGATGACTGATTTTAAGAGTATTCATTTAGGGAGATTGATTTCAATCCTTTATCAGAAAAAACCAAAACCAAAACAAAACTGGGGCTTAGTAAAGTGTTGCAGGCCACACAACAGTGGATACACATTAGTGCACAAAGCCACAGCTTCTCCCACTGGCACAAAACCGTTAAAATACCTATAACAATCACACATATTATTACATGACAGTGTCCTAGCAGACTTGAGGAAAAAGCCTTTTATTTTATGCCCTTGCCAATACTGACTATTCAATTTTGGTTCAACTATATATCTTTATACATATTTCTTATGAGAAGTCAAATAAAATGAAACCATGCAAGTAAAATACTTGTTCTTCTCTTTCTAGATACTGAGATTTCACTTACTTTTAAATGCTAAATATGCTCCAGGCTATTGGGGTGGGGGGGGAGGTACTGCTGCATCTTGTCCATATTATTCATACATCCTGATGGCAATTTTAATGCTTTCGGGTAAAACAAACAAACAAACCTGAATGGCCCAATTTTGCTTAACTATAGATCATCAGGACAACTGAGGACTACAGAAAGCATGCTACCCAAAGCTGAAGAAGTCGAACTCATATGAATTCAGCTAAACTGTTAAAAGGGCATACTGATGAAGTGTTTGTTTGTTTGCTTGTTTGTTTGTTTGTTTTTAAAGCATATGATTGGTGGTCTAGGTAGGGAAATAGATTTAGAAATAGCTCTAATTCTTTCTCTGTCCTGGGGTTTTCAGTAGAACAAAATGTCCTCTGCTATACTTGAAAGCAGCATGCCAACGAAGGAGAGGTACATATCAAACAATGCCTAACGATAGCTACGCAAACATTCCACCAGAAGAATCTGGGGTTTTAACTTTCTAGCTCTGACTTTATGGTGTTGACCTTTGAAAATAATTAAACCAAATCAACAGTTAGGAACTGAGGGGAGTGCATTTTTAAGACCTGAAAGGATCCTGACATTTTATTTCAGCTATCCACAGGCAAAACAGTGAACTAGCAGCAGCTAATACAACCTGAGCTTTTAACACTGGAAAGGTCCAGGGTTTGTTCCCCACATTGATTACAATTGAGTTAAGTGGGGATTCAACATACAAGACACGAGATTTAGCCTCTTTCAAAATTACCCCCTTTGATGTTACTCTATTGAGTGAAATTCAAACAAAACTGTTTTTTGACCAAATTAACATATTGCTACATATATTCTCAGGGTCCAATTATTTCATGTCAAGGAATCATGTATCATGTAAGAATGAGGAAAAGGGAATCTTGCTTATTATTAGCCAGTTGTACCTATACAAACTGAATTCTTTACCTGAACTGCCTATAACTACAGAATACTGCTGTGAGTTAGAGCTGGAAGTGCTGTCATTTTGCAGAGGAGGAGACTAAGGCCTGCGAAGATGAAGTGCTCTGCCCAACGTCACACAACCAGATGGCAGCACAGCCACAACTACAACTCGTGTCTCAGGATTCTAGTACAGAATTTTCCCCACAGTACCACTCTATTTAAATATAACACCAATTCATCCCAATATTGATTTTTAGAAAGGGGCTTTGTGGTAGAATTAATGAAGACAGTCCTGAGGATCATAATTGGATGAGAGCAATGAAAACTTTTCATTGTTGAATTTGGGCAATTTTGGATCACAACTTAATGACACTACATTGTTTATACAACAGGGCCTAATGATTAATTATAGGATCAAATGGGCTATAGCAAAGGGAAATCAGGATTACTATCACATGTTGAAGTGTATTGTCGTGGGATGGGGGTAGAGGAGTGGAAGCTAGCTACTATATGTTTTATTTGTGTAATACAGTTCATACAATGCCACATATAAAATTTAGGCATTTTGTATATATGTTAACAGGTTGGCCAATTAATAGCTTCTAGATTTCTTTGGCTATTGTTAAATTTTTCTTACTTGAATATTCGTGAAAGTCTTTAAAAATTCCAAACAATCCTGTGCTCAGGAATTTATTTTTTAAATGTCTTTACAATAAGGTCTTAATTATATTTCTAAGGATAATTAAAATAGTAATAGTAGTAGTACAGTTAGCATTGGAAAGTTATTGAATCTCTACAGTGGGAGGTTGTAAGAACTGGATATATCTGCCAAGAATGTAAAATCTCTTGTAGTATTCTGGGCACTGTATGAATCTAAGAAAAAAAGAGAATACAAAATATCTAAGGAATGAACTATTAAAAATGAACTATTTTAGACATGGAATGCTATAGCAACAAAGCTCAGGAGACAATGTAACTAAAATATTAATGTTCAATTTCAGTATCACTGGTATGATAAATACTAGTATTTTAAATTTCCTTTAAGGAAAACATTGCTAAGTTGTTTGTTTGTTTGTTCTTGGTTAGATATATTGATAGACTATGGCTAACACTGACTTTTATTATCAGAAATTTAAAAAGCATAAAGGGAGAAATTTTATTTCATTTTAGATCTAAATTTTGAAAACAGAAAAATAGCCTGTTCATTCGGGAGAAGTGTATGTGAGAAATTTCTTATCTGGCTCTAAGTATATTAGATAAAATTGTAACACTTGCTATAAAATTCAGAATGAGATACGCCTACTTTGGGTTCTGCAAAAGGCATGGATATATTACTGGACATTCTAGAAATTTTTCTTACTTTTTTCTTACATTCTAGAAAAACCTCAACAGCAAGTCTAAGGGCATTATTATGTAGTGAAATATCAGTGTGCTTATGCTCCTGCTTACTTAAGAGAAATTGTTAGAAAAAAATTAAAAAAAAATTTTTTTGCAAAGAGCTTAAAGTATATAAATTAATAATAAAAGAGCAAAAATAGCAAGATCAATTCCATTTTCAAACTTCTTCAGAATATACAGTTTAGGAAGGCTGAAATTGGTTAATAAGAAGGCACAAAAGAGATGGTTGTTCCAAAGATATCAATGTGATTTTTTGCTGCAAAATATGTGTTTACTTTGTCATCGTTTATCTTGAAGATGCTAGAAGATAGAGTACTACAGTATGTTCATCTACTTAAAATTATCTTCACATGTAAATTAGTGACAATTCAGTCAAAAACAGATTTAAACCAGTCAAATAATGGTGATAGCTGTTAAATATAAACAAATAAGTGGCTTGAATATAAATACAGACCAATGGTATTTTTTGGTACCATAAGGGAAAAATTATTACATAGTGAGGATTTTTAATTTTTTCCAATATATCATATTTTCTTATCGTATTAAAAACCCTCTTGTATTTCAATGATACTATCAATTTTGAATTTTTTTTAATCGCAAAGACAAATGAAAATGAGGAAGAAGAGTACCAACTATGTAGGTAGGCTACTATAATAAAAAAAATTGGATAGTTCAAAATTTTCAACTTTGCTTTCTTATTAAATATTAAGAATGATAATTCTTAAATGAACCAAGATATCACAGTAGCCAGTTGTGTACTATTTGTGGCAACCGTATATTTAAAATAAATATTTCTTTTTGGCATGAACTACAGCAACACTGAGTTCATGTGGATAAAATAAGAGGAAATCCTACAAATAATCTATACAATGTTATTAAGAAAGTTTTTTTTTAAAAAATCAACATGGCTACAAATCAGTAGAATGACCTTGTATAGAAGTACTACCCCTACTTCAAGTTTGCTTTAAAAATATTAATATATTTTGTTAAAAATGTATGCAAATACCTATCATAGGCATTTAATTACATTCCTTTTCATCAAAATGTTAGTGATTAACAACACTATCACTGGGCAAATTAAATTAAGCAGCTGCCAAGCAAAAATTAAAAATGTGCAAAAGGCAATGAATACAGCAAAAAAGAAATTATTATCTCCAACTGTGTATTCTTTCTTCCTTATGTAGGATACTTGCTTCAATCTGATAATCTATTAAAATTCTATTCTCTTCAATATTGGGCATTTTAGTGTTGTTTTAAAGAACTTATTCTATGGTTATTCACCAATTTGATTAGCCTTTGGTAAATAAGGGTTATCAATGAGAAAACAGTTGCAGCTGGCTACATGTTAATTTTTCAAAATTATGCTTCAAAGATTATTGAAAACATAAACATAGTTTGAAAGAGACAAAGAAAAAAATCATAGTTCTAAAAATAAAGTGTCTTTTAATTATATAAAAATAATATACTTGTAAAGATAATTATCATAAGAAAATATTTCTGAATAAATATTCTTTTCAAGAACACATAATTAAGTAGACTTGTAAATATATTTGCAATCAAACTTATTTCTGACTTAAGTGTACTTTTGGAGAACATGTCAAACAATCCATGCTCTTTGGAACAGAAAATGACTGAGCCAGAATATTCTCATCCTGTCCAACTGGAAGAGATAAATAAAATAAATCAGGTGAGAATTTAGAATATTGTTCTTTCTGGCCAAGTTCTAATATTAAGACAATAGGACTAATGTTATGCGATCTTCTAGTACTAAAGCTCATTATTGTGTTTTATGAGACATAGAATCCAAGGTTTCCCACTTATTATGCATTTTGAAGTCTTAGCAAATAAACAACCTAACTCAAATTTCCTAATTAAGCTATTTCCTTAACTAGAGTTTCAACCATGAGAGATGACAGCAGTTAATTATTTCAAATTGACAACTTACTATTAATATGAAAAAATGGGCCAGTAATAATTATATTTCATGTCCTAGCACTGTTTTGTAGATACAAATCTCTTGATATTGTTTCATGAAAGAAAAAAAAAGATATACTTCTCCATATGCTCAATAAGTATTTGTCAACTGAATGAATAAATATGGCTCCCTTGATGTTTTAAAGAACAAGACATTTGATCAAATAGTCAGCAGGTTCAGTTTTTGTAGAAAGTAACAGATATGACAAACCATCTCAACAATTAACTAAAAGGTGTCAGGAAAAGCCTTGAAGATATTTTTAAAATTATAATTTAGGGGAAAATGTCATTCTCATCCTAGTACACATTTTACAGTTACTTCAACAGCATAAAAGAATAAGTTTTTATGGCTTACAAATAAAAAAGCAACCCTTCTAAGTGTCCTCAAAGGTTGTTCTTTTTAGTAAAGAGAAAAGAGAGATCATCAGAACAACCTAAATTCAGCTTTGCCAGTATGGAGAATTAGTTTGTACAATGTACTATACTACTGACAGTAGTGGAGTATTTCCAATTTGAATACTTAAAGAGTTGTTTAAAAAATAACACAAAATTCACAGAATTTTAATTTTGGAAGAGAGAAACCAAAAGAGAGCAAATATATTTGTATTTCATATTAATACAGAAGAATAAAATCCATGAGGTACTAACAGTGTTGATCTGATTCAACTGCCAGTCACACTGAATTCTCTAACAATGTTACTATAAATGGTAACACAAAAAAATTCCTTTTCCTTGCAAAACTAGAACATTTGGTGGACCACATTCACTGTTTGGTATAACTATAGTAAGTATTTCAACCCAAGTTCAAAGAGTAGCTTTCAAAAAAATAGCATTCAAATGCAATCTCTGCATTTTTTTTTTGTTATAAGGCTATCCTCTTCACATTAGAGCAGCAGACCCAATGTCCATAAAATAGGTACATCTATATTTCAAATACATGCTATGATTCAGATATTCATATTAAAGTCCTCTTTAAAATTTTACTGTGATAGACAAACCATTTTTAAATAAAGAAAGAACTTATGCTTGGGATTTGGACAATTCTTTACAAAATTATAGATCTAATCTTGGTTCCTGTGAAAAGTACTGTGTATTTACTGAAAGAAGCTACAAAGTTCGATAAAGGCAAATTAGATAAAGCACTCCATATTTTATCAACTGCACCTAATTTTACTAGTCCTAATTTGGACCTCAAACACTTCTTTTCAGAACATAGTTATATTATAGAGCCATACTCCATACAGAGCCACAGTCCAAACTACAACCTAGGACTTAACCAGTTTTTAAATAAGTAGAAAGTTAACATAATTTCACTTAAATAGCAGATGCTGTCATAAAGTAATGAATTTCAAGTTATTCTGTCTTAAACACTAGGTGATAAGGGACAGAAGGAAAGCCATCTGTTTGGTTGCTTGCATAAAAATAGTGAGCAATAAGTTAAAGTGACTGACTGAATTGTGGAGGATTAGCTGTCTAAAACACATATCTCAGCTCTACTGGAGGTGTGCTACTGTGGTATGTATTAGCAATCTGTAAAGGCTGACTAAATAGAATTCCTTTCATCATACAGGCACTGCTGTCTGCACTACAGTAATAGAGGCACACACAGATGGACACAACTGCTTCGAAGGACAAGCAACTACGAGGAATCTGCAGTGATATCACAGGTTGCTTAGAAAGACTCCTAATTTCTCCTGACAGAATCTGTCCTTCAAGAAGCCATTCATTACCTACGAAATAAAAATAAAATCATTAAAATAATAAAACATTTACATGTAAATGGAGAATAGTCTTTTTTATTATGCATTTATAGGATGTCTTCATATTTTTTCCTTTATGTGAACAATAAATACTATAGCAAACTTATACAATTTCTCTGTAATTTTATGTTCTTGTATTATTTATAATCTAATGCCTTTACATTAGCAAAATTAAATATTACTTGCAAAAATGCTGGAACAACTTAAATTTCCTATAAAAAATATTATACTACTTAAAAATCATATATTTTGATAAAAATAGTCTTAACACAAAAAAGACAAAATACCTGGCCTAGGAAACGCAAATTTCTGCTGCATATAATTTTGTGGTAACTCATTTCCACTCTAGTTGACTACTTATAAAGTGCTGTTGGCTGTGAAAGTAGGCAACCAAGACTGTTAGGAATTGCATGCCGGGGCAGCTAGGTAGCACAATGGATAGAACACTGGCTCTGGAGTCAGGAGGACCTGTGTTCAAATACAGCCTCAGACACTTACTATCTCTGTGGCTCAATGCATGTCACTTAACTCTTTTGTCTCAGTTTCCCCATCTGTAAAATGAGCTGGAGAAGGAAATAGCAAACCTATTTCCTAATAGCAAACCTAAGTCCAGTACACTTGCCAAGAAAACCCCAAATGGGGTCATGAAGAGTTGGATATGACTGAAACAAGTGAAAAACAATAACAACAAAGTTTAGGGCAGGTAGGTGGCACAGTGGATAGAACACCGGCCCTGGAGTCAGGAGGACCTGAGTTCAAATTTGGCCTCAGACACTTGACACTAGCTGTGTGACCCTAGCCAAGTCACTTAACCCCAACTGCCTCCCCCCCAAAAAAAGAATTGCATGTCAATAAGTTAGTAATATACTGAAGTAATAAAATGTGCAGAGTTAATGCTCTTGCTTTCTGACAGCTATTTTGCATTGTCAGAAGCTACATTCACTGACTTTTGTATTCAGAATTATGTTCTGCATGGTTGAAGTTGTTGGAAATCCAGCTTTCAGAGAAGGAGGTACTGTAATACAGAAGAAAGAATACTGGACTAAAAGTCAAGAGAACTGGATCCAAGTCCCAAGCTTGCCACTAATTAGTTATGATATATTTAGCCTTCTTGGGTCTCAATATCCTAAGACTGGCATTAAAGTTTATGACTTTAAGTAGGATGTTACTGTAACTTTTTTTATTCAACACAACTATGGGAGGGAGAGCTGTCACTCCCAGTTTGCAGATGAATAAATAGAAAGACAAATGGTTCTCTACAAACTATGAGTTAGTTGTAGTGAGGGGTATACCCCAAGTTTTCTGACCCCTCATTTAGTGCTCTTTCTCCCACAGTTAATATCTCTGGTGATTATAATTTCATTGTATATGCTTAACAAGAAATTTTGCACACAATTATGTTTTTTCAGCTGGCACTGAATGCCAATTTATTATACTTAATGTGTCAATTCTTGTTATACCTTATAACAAAAACATTATTTAAAAAGAACATAATTTCATTCCCTTTTAACTTTGAGGCAGCAATCATGACTTCTAGGAGGAGTTCTGTGGAAATTTTAAGAATATTATATACTGGTCAGTTTGTCGGAGTAGATGTACTAGCTCCTTACCACTGGCTAGGATATAAATATATGAGTTTTCACTCCCTCTGACTCTTTATCCAATTGCTTTTCTCTTTTTTCTTTTTGTCTATTTTCTTCCTGCTTCTCCTGAGTGAGTACTGCAGGACTATTTCACAGAACCACAGAATTTTAGAACCCATGTATCTAGGTTAGCCTCATCTTACAGATGAGAAAACTGAGGTCCAGAGAACTTGTCATTTATTTAATGTCACACAATCAGCAAGTGACAGGGCTGGACTAAGAATCAAAGTCTCCTGACATCCAGTCCAATGATCTGTAATTTCACTGTCATGCCTTGTTTTAAATTTTTCTGTTCATAGTGGCTCCTTTCAGGAAAAACACAATAGTGGCAAGAATAAGCATTCAGAGGACTACGTTCCAACTAATTTGGACAATGACTGATACGTAGCTTCGATGAATTATTATCTTTTAGTAAATGAGAGAAAGAATTTCAGAGAAATGATGGTCAACAAAATAGCTGTTCAAGGGGGACAGGTATTAGTAAGTGTTTAAGCTCAGAAATAAATTAGATCTTCTGACTAAAAGTTTAATGTCTTTTCACAGGATTCTGAGGAATTCTGGGAAGAATAACACTTTATTATAATTTAATAATAGTAATAATAATAATAACAATAATAGCTAGCATTTGTATGGTGCTTTATTTGTTTACAAAGCAGTTAATTTGTTACCTCATTTGATCCTTACAACAACCCTGGGAGGTAGATGCTATTATTATCCCCATTTTATAGATGAAGAAACTGAAGCTAAGAGAGTGACTTGCCTAATATCACATAGTAAATCTGAAGAAAAATTTGAACTCAGGTCTTCTTGACTCCATGTCCAACACTCTATTCACTGTGGGAATGTTCGTTAATATATCAGGTGATAAGGGAGGAGGGGAAGCATATTAATATCTTATGTCATTGGCAATATCAGTAATGTACTTACCTTCAGCTGTTAGAAACCAGAAACTAGGTGCTCCTTCAGTTAGTTTTGTTTCTGCAGGAAGATCTAATCTTAGAATAAACTGAAGACTCTGTCCAGGAGATACAGTCAATGGTGAAAGTTTAACATTTGGAGAAGATTTAGGAAGTTTGGGTAGTTTTACTGTCTTCTGCTTTTCTAGAAATGGGCCATCAACAACAGCAGCTTCCGAACTGATGACAGAAAGCTATAAAAAAATTTTTTTTAAAAGTTACTAAGCACAAATTTGTTTAATGGGTTGTTTTATTTGTAATAGTCTATCTGGAGGAGAAAGAAGGGCAGTAAAGATACCCACAAATTCATATGAGACAAAATTCAAGAAAGGGGACAGAAATAAAACTTACGGCCTCAGATACCTGTACACAAATGCACAAGATGTGGACAATAAAGAAAGTGAACTAAATCAAGGAGACAATTTAAAATTAATATCAGTAAGACTTGGCAGAATGAAGCTCAAGACTGGAATACAGCATAGGAAGAATATGTCTTTTTAAAAAGGAACAAACTAGGTTGGAATACAGATGTAAGGGAAGCACAGTAGCACTATTTATTCAGAAGGGAAATCTAAGAAACCAGAAAGAAAGCACAGAAACTGAAGGAGGAAACAGATAAAGAATGTGGGTATCAGATCACAAGCCCGGCAACAGAGGTATGATGGAGTAATAATGGGATACTTCACTTATCTAGACATCTGCTTGTACTCTTCTCTTTCATCAGAACAGTCAAGAAATTGTTAACTCCATGTTTCAAATGGTAGAGAGGTCAATGAGGGCCTGGATACTGATTCTCACCAACAAAAAGGAACTTATTGCTAGGGTGGATGCTATGTAATTGTTAATTTAATCTCCTCTGAACTTCTCTATTCCTTGTTACATCAAGAACTCTTCCTCTATCCATAGTTCTTTCATTTTCCTCTAATTTTATTATCTGGCCTTTTATTGAACTAGACCAAATTATGAGAAAACTCATCTTGGGTATCTCCATCTCCATCTAGTTCTCAGGTTTTATTATTTTGGAGTTCATTTATGGGTCGTTCAATTTTTCTTCCCTTGAATTAAGTTAAAAATTTTTTTTCTTGTTCTGATAAGCGAAGTATTTTTTGTTTTTGTAAAGAGTCATTCATTTTAATTAAGTTATTGGGGTTTTTTTTCTGGCATATAACTGGGTACAACAGTTTGTAATAAACATCCTTTATTTCCTCTTCCTTTGTTGTGAAATTTTTTCCCCCTTCCAATTTTGATACTGGCATCGTTTTTCCTCTTTTTTTTCTCTGACAAATTAACTAACAGTTTGCTCTTTTTATAAGTTTTATCTTCCTTTTAAAAATCTGGCTCCTAGTATTAATTATAAATTCCACTTCATTGTTTTAAATTTTGTCTCTTCTTTGATCTTTAGGATTTATAATTTTGTGTTTAGTTGAGTTGTTAAAATCTGTTGCCTGGCGATTTTAATGATCTATTCTTCTTCTCTTTCATTGACTAAATTATTTAAAGACAGAAATTTCCCTTTCAGAACTGTTATGGCTGCATTCCAAAAGGTTTGATATGATACCTCACTGTTGCAATTTCCTTTGTTTAAATTATCTCTTTTCTCTATGATTATTCTTTGATTCACCAATTCTTTATACCAAATTAATTAGTACCTATTTAATTTGAATCTTTTCTTTAAATGTCCTTTATTGATTATAATTTTATTGCACTGTTGTCAGTAAAAGGTGCTTAATATTCCTCCTTTTCCACATTTATTTATGAGATTATGTCCTAGTACACGGTCAATTTTGTAAAGGTACCACTTTTAGTAGAGAAATATGGGTATTTCTTTATATTCCCATTCAGTAATCATCAGAGGTTTGTCATATCTACCTTTTCTAAAATTCTGTTGAATTCATAATTTACTTCTTGCTTAACATTTTCTAGATTTGTCTAAATCTAAAAGGAGTTCATTGAGGTCCCCTAACAGAGTTTTGCTTTCCATTATTCTGCATAATTCAATGAACTTTTCTTTTAAGTTTGTAGATTTTATACCATTCAGTACATATATGTCAAGAAATGAGTTTTATTGAGCCACAAAGCATAATGTAGTTTCTTTGCTATTTCTTTTAACCATCCTACTTTTAAAAATTCATCTGAAGCTTAAAAAATTCTGCTCAATCCCTTCATTTAATTTTATGTGAATATTTATATTTCAAGTAGGTTTTTTGTAAACAACATGTTGGATTCTATTTTCTACTATCACCTACTACTCCCTCACTGCCCCCCACCATGAGTGGGCTCATTCCATTCATTTTCACTGTTAGGACTGTTAATTGTATATTTCCCTCCTTTATGTCCTTGTTTGTTTTTTTTTCTTTTCCTCCCAACTCTCTATATCTACTACATTATGCTGCCTCTCTAATATCTCTTATTGCTAAAATGAAAAACCTAGATTTATTTTTATTTTAACTAAATTTTAGTGGCGTAGGAAGTCAGGCTCCAGTACTTCTTTTGGCAAGGTTATCTAATAATTTATCCCACCATCAGCAATTAAGACTACATATTTAAAGGTTAATTTAACATCAATCAATATAAATGTGAATATTTCTTACATGTATGCATATGCAAATCTGCATGTATGTGTATACACACATATGTAAACAAATATATATGTTCAGACCTGTGATTTCATCACTGTCTGAATTTGCTGGTGTATAACTTTCCTCCAGAAAAATAAACGACAACTTGTTTTAATTTATAGTTTTAAAGAGTTGCCTGAGGGCACTGAGAGGTTAAGTGATCTGCCTATCATCCCACAGCTTTGATGTATCAAGACAGGATATGGACTTAGTTTTTTTTCTGATTCCAAGGCTGGCCCTCAAATCCCTTATACTAGGTTACTGCTCTTGTGCACATATAAATACATATAAAGACACATACACAAGTAAATGTAAAAAAAAACCAAAAGCTTCTCCCCACTGTATTTTAGCAGGACCATCAATACTTCTCCAAGCTGCAATATCATTCCCAAACTCTCAGCACAGATGGAACATTTATTTTAAGAATAACAGGATATCCTTAAAGCAATCTTGTCAGTCTGGTTATCAAAAAATATTGTGGGCAATCATTTACTATTCTGAGTAACTGCCTTCAATCATTTGATATAGAGGGACTTTGTCTAGTTCATGCTTTAAATTCTATAAGAAAGCTGACAACATATTTAACTCAATAAAATGATTAACTAATAAATCGTAAGATTTCTACTTACCACAGAAATAATTTTCGTTTCCAAATCCATCACTTTAATTTGATGATTATTTGTGTCAGCAATATATAGCAAATTACCATCCTCTCCAATACATAAGCCTCCAGGTTCATTAAAAGTTGACTCTGTAGAAGTTGAACTGATAACATTACTTGCTTCTCCTGTACCTGCAATTGTAGTGCAGCTTTTTGTTTTGGGATCCACAACTTTAATCTAAGGAAAAAAAACCAATAAATTTTAAAGACTGAGAAACAGGATACAATATTTTTACTGTACATGGGGAGAATATCTCATTCTAATTTATCACAGATGACATTAAGGATAACCTTATCTATTGGCAAATGGAAGGTCCTAAATGTTAAATATGTTTTTCTTTCCTTTTTAAAATTTTATTGACATTTTAAAATATATAATTAATTTATTTTTAGTTTTCAACATTCACTTCCATAAGATTTTGAGTTTCAAATTTTCTCTCTTCCCTCACCTCCCCTCTCCCCAAGATGGCATGCAATCTGATATGGGCTCTACTTATTTGTTCATATTAAGCATATTTTCATATTAGTCATGATATAAAGAAGAATTAGAACTAATGGGAGGAACCATGAGAAAGAAGAAACTAAACAAAACAACAAAAGAAAAGGAGAGCAAATAGTATGCTTCGATCTGCTTTCAAACTCCATAGTTCTTTCTTTGGATGTAGATAGCATTTTGCATCATGAGACCTTTGGAGACGTCTTAGATCCTTGCATTGCTGAGAAGGGTTAAGTGTGTACAACGTTCTCCTGGTTCTGCTCACTTCACTCAGCATCAGTCCATACAGGTCTTTCCATGTTTTTCTTAAGTCTGCCTGCTCATCATTTCTTTTTTTTTTCCTTCAGCCAAAAACAAGGTTTATTAAAGATCCACTATATTAGCCAGACTCCTAAGGAATCTGAGCATCTGTGAGCTATTGGCTAGATTGTAAAAATCAGAGCAGTGGCTAGATCATAAGAATCAGAGCACCTTAATGGAGACAAAATGGACCTTATATATAGAAAGACTATGAGAGAGATCTAGGAGTGGCCAAGTAGTCTATGAGGTAATAGAACTCCAGGGACCTGGACCACGTGGCCAAGGGAGAATGGAGCCTAGATAGGATTAAGGGTGGGAAGTGGCCTGGGGCCATCGGGAGGTGAAACAATGGAGAGCTAGGCTAGGTTAAGGGTAACAGAATTGGGAGATTAGGTGTAGCCACAGACAAAGGCTAGTTGATGGGATTATAGCCTCAGGCAAATGTCAGAGATTTGGCCTTGTGGGAAAGTCCAGGGTTTTTCCTTTTTGGGATCTAGCTCACATCCTCATCATTCCCCCCTCAAACAAATGGGACCCAAATTCTTTTGGGATAAGGGGAGAAGGTCTAGGTTTCTGAAACTGTTTCCTGCTGGCAAGGGGCACAGAGCTGTCCCTGTCTCAAGGGGGTCCCAAAGAGGTTGACTGGAACTGAGCACAGGCTGCACCTAGGGAATGATGGGGGAACATTGTCTAGTATCCGCTGTTTGCTATCAATTGTAGGTGAATAGCCTTTAGTCTGGAAGACACAAATCTGACAGAAAAGACTGCAGGGCCCAGACATGACAAGATAAAACATCCTTAGTCTGGATTCAGATAATTCAGTTTTCCAACCATGCAATATTAAATCCACCTCATAGCCAGACTAGGGAATAGCCAGGTAGGTGGGTAACATTCCTTTCCAAAGGAATATAATGGGGAAACTGAACCAGAAGGATCCCATCTTAGAGTGAGGCTAAAATTGTCCTCTCAGTTTTTCCCCCAATGCTGACTTCCCACCAGTATCACATTCTCTGAGTAACTTGTGGCATTTCTCTCAGGTGGTAGATTATTGATTATTGATGGATTATTATGATCCATCAGACAACTCAAAATAAAATCCTATGAGCTTTTACCTCACACAGCAAGTTCACTAATCACAGCTTAGGAAAAACTTTTCCGAAGATTTACATCTCAAACTTAAGTTTGTCCTGATGTAAAAAGCCAAACGTTAGATTTCTATATACTTGAAAATTCTCAGCAAATCAAAACCCAAACAAGTTGTTTGGCAAGTTTACACATTAAAACAATAACAAATAATAGGCAAATTATTTTAGCAGTAACCAAATTATGAAAAGTTGCTTGAGATAACTGATACAAAAAGTTCACCAATTTGAAACTTGAAACAAACCCATTACCAATCAGGTAACTTCAGTTTTGTTAAATGCATTTCCAAATTACTTTACACAGAGAATCAACATTCCATCATTAACAGTTAAAACTACAACTTTAAAAGCTGCTCATCATTTCCTATAGCACAGTAGTATTCCATTACATTCATATACCACAACTTGTTCAGTCATGCCCCAATTGATGCGTATTCACTCAGTTTCCGATTCTTTGCCACCACAAAAAGAGCTGCTATAAATATTTTTGTTCATGTGGCTCCTCTTCCTGTTTTTATGATATCTTTGGGATACTGACATAGAAGTGGTATTGCTAGGTCAAAAGGTATGCACAATTTTATAGCCCTTTGGGCGCTGGTGTTCTAATTTTCTCACATCTTCTCCAACATTTATCAATTTCCTGTTTTGTCATGTTGGCCAATCTGACAGGTGTGATTTGGTACCTCAGAGTTGTTTTGATTTGCATTTCTCTAATCAATAGTCATTTAGAGCATTTTTACATATGACTATGGACAGTTTTAGTTTCTTCCTCTGAAAACTGCCTGTTCATATAATTTGACCATTTATCAACTAGGGAATGACTTGTATTCTTATAAATTCAATTCAGTTCTCTATATATTTTAGAAATGAGGCATTTATCAGAGACACTGGCTGTAAAAATTCTTTCCCAGTTTTCTGCTTCCCTTCTACTCTTGGTTGCATTGGTTTTGTTTGTGCAAAACCTTTTCAATTTAATGTAATCAAAGTCATCCATTTTGGATTTCATAATATTCACTTTTTCTTGTTTGGTCAAAATTCTTTTCTTCCCCATAGATCTAATAGGTAAACTATTCCTTGCTCTCCTAGTTTGCTTATCGTATCAGTCTTTATATCTAAATTATGTATCCATTTTGACTTTATCTTGGTATAGGGTCTAAGATGTTGGTCTATGCCTAGTTTCTGCCATACTATCCTCCAGTTTTCCCAGCAGTTTTTGTTAAATAGTGAATTCATATCCCAGAAGCTGGAGTCTTTGGATTTATCAAATAGTAGATTACTATAGTCATTGATTGTTGTGTCTTGCACACTCAACCTATTCCACTGATCCACCATTCTATTTCTTAGCCAGTACCAAGTAGTTTTCATGATTGCTGCTTTATAATACAATTTAAGATCTGGTACAGCTAGGCCACCTTTCCTTGAATTTCTTTTTCATTAGTTCCCTTGATATTCTGGACCTCTTGTTCTTCCTGATGAATTTTGTTACTGTTTTTTTCTAGCTCTATAGAATAATTTTTTGGTAGTTTGACTGGTATGGCACTGAATAAGTAAATTAATTTAGGTAAAACTGTCATTTTTATTATATTAGCTCAGCCTACCTATGAGCAACTAATATTTTTTCCAATTATTTAGATCTGATTTTATTTGTGTGAAAAATGTTTTGTAATTGTGTTCATATAGTTCCTGAGTTTGTTTTCACAGGTAGACTCCCAAATATTTTATAATGTCTACAGTAACGTTAAATGGGATTTCTCTTTTTATCTCTTACTGTTAGGCTCTGTTAGTGATATATAGAAATGCTGATGACTTATGTGGGTTTATTTTATATCCTGCAACTTTGCTAAATTTGTTTATTATTTCAAGTAATTTTTTACTTGATTCTCTAGGATTCTCTAAGTTTACCATCATATTATCTGCAAAGAGTGATAACTTTGTTTCTTTTTTGCCTTTTCTAATATCTTTGATTTCTTTTTCTTCTCTTATTGCTAAAGCTAACATTTCTAGTACAATATTGAATAACAGTGGTGATAATGGACGTCCTTGTCTCACCCCCAATCTTACTGAAAATGCTTCTGGTTTATCCCCATTATATATAATGCTTGCTGATGATTTTAGACAGATGCTACCTATGATTTTAAGGAAGACTCTACGTATTCCTGTGCTTTTTAGTGTTTTTAATAGGAATGGGTGCTAGATTTTGTCAAATGTTTTCTCTGCATCTATTGAGATAATCATATGATTTCTGTTAGTTTTGTTACTGATGTGGTCAATTATGCTGATAGTTTTCCCAATACTGAACCAGTCCTGCATTCCTGGTATAAATCCTGTCTGGCTGCAGTGTATTATCCTCAAGATAAGTTGCTGTAATCTCTTTGCTAATATTTTATTTAAAATTTTGATATCTATATTCATTAGGGAAATTGGTCTATAATGTTCTTTCTCTGTTTTGGTTCTTCCCAGTTTAGGTATCAGCACCATATTTGTATTATAAAAAGAATTTGGTAGGACTCCTTCTTCACCTATTTTCCCAAATAGTTTATACAGTATGTAATTAGTTGTTCTTTAAATGTTTGATACAATTCACTTGTAAATCCATCTGGCTCTGGAGATTTTTTCTTAGGGACTTCATTGTTGGCTTGTTCAATTTCTTTTTCTGAAATGGGGTTAAGTATTTTATTTCCTCTTTCATTAATCTGGATAATTTACATTTTTGTAAATATTCATCCATTTCAATAAACTTGTCAAATTTATTGGCATACAGTTGGGCAAAATAGCTCCTATTTTGATTTCTTTTTCATTGGTGGCAAATTCACCCTTTCATTTTTGATGCTGGTAATTTAGTTTTCTTCTTTCTTTCTTTATTTTTAATCAAATTAACCAAAGGTTTATCTATTTTATTGGTTTTTTTGTAAAACCAGCTCTTAGTTTTATTTATTAGTTCAATAGTTTTCTTAATTTCAATTTTCTTAATTTCTCCTTTGGTTTTCAGAATTTCTAATTTGGTATTTAATTGGAGATTTTTAATTTGTTCTTTTTCTAGCTCTTTTTAGTTGCATTCCCAATTCATTGATCTTTTCTGTCTCTATTTTATTCACTTAAACATTTAGAAATAAACTGTTTTCACTGCATCCCTTAAGTTTTGGTATGTTGTCTCATTGTCATTCTCTTGGATAAAGTTATTGATTGTTTCTATGATTTGCTATATGACCCACTCATTCTTTAGGATTACATTATTTAGTT